CCGAGTCTCAACTGCCATCGCCTGGAGGTGGCAGCTGCCCCGCGCCCGTCGGAAGTGGTGCAAGAGCCAGACCCAGATGTTCCCCCTGTTCTCGTTTCCCGTTACTTTCAGCCAGCTTTCCATCCAGCTGGGGTGGGTTTCTTTCCCCTTCCAACTTCCCTATTCCATTTAGGGACTCTCTTGCCCGCGAAGCTCCCTGCCCCGGCTCGCCTTGCACACCGCCATGCCCGCTCAGCTCCTGCGCTGACCCCAGGGAACTGGCAGACCAGCCAAAACAGGGACTGAGGCCCGGGAAAACCTTGTCCCCAAACCGTTGCTGCGGGCCCAGTGCCACCGAGCAGAGGTGAGGCTACGGCCAACGTCCCTCCACACCCCGGCCACAATGACAAGAGACACTGCCAGCCCGGCCACGCCACAAGAGAGGGTCCCACTACCGCCTTGCACACCTGCGAGGGGCTCCATGTTATTACTTCAAGCATTTTTCTTATTTTATAGTATACAATTATCATCATCATCATCAACTTGTCCTGCCCAAAAGCTTCCTAGCTCTGACCACGAGCACCCCGCAATGCTGGCCAGCAAGCACACCCAGAAGGTTACGGCAGCAGCCCCCTCCCCGCGGGTCCCACCCCGGGGTTTTACCCTCACGGCACAGGCACCGGGTGCGAATGACCCTCCAGCTCCTCTCCCGGCTGTTCCCTTCCGAACACCACCGTCCGCAGCACGCAACATCCCCCTTTATCTTTGCCCCCGGCAGAGGGTGTTCGTACAGGCAGATAAGTACCGAGCGCTCACTATCGCGCTGGGAAGTCCTGCTCGCTCCCCGCACGCTCGTATCAGCCCGGGGCAGAGGGGGAACCACAGCGCCCACGCTGCCGCGATGGCAAAGCCCGCTCAGCCATGCTGTGGATCCGGTCAGGGGAGAAGGTTAGGTGTTGGCGCACGGGTTAGACACTGTTTTGTTAGTATTTTTTTAATTTGAAAGCTCTTTTTTAATAAAATGCTGAAAAAGTCAAAACTTTCCTGGGAACTCTGCGGCTTGGGAAGAGGATGGGCGCCTTTGACCCACCTTTGAAGGAAACGCTTTTGGCAATCAGAGGCTCCGGCACCAGGAAGGGGCTGCGGGCACCCAGGGGTCGGTGTGTAAGGCTCTGCTGGTATCAGGCACATCCTCACCGTGGCGGAGACAGGCGCTGCCGGGGCGGTCAGACATCACGGCGAGGAAGGCCACAGGAGCGGGGTGCACGACAAGAGGGAGCGACGAGAAAGGCACA